AAAAGAAAAAAAGAGAGAGAAAGAAGTCAGTCATGCACCACCTCTCATAAAGAAAGTTGATTAAGGAATTACACTCTTATGCTTCTTATATAACAAGAAAATACACAGACTCTCCCTAAACTGTATAAAGCAAACTAAGTCAATTAAACTTACAAAGTAATACCAGAAATGTTTATAGTCCCCCTACATTTCTATCTGTTAAAACATAATCAATACAATGCAAGATTATCAGAGGTTTTGCTTAACAAGTTTTACAATTAAGATATACTTCTAATAAACTTTCATGAAGCTATTTTGGTAGGACTTAAAGTAAACTTTATAGAAAATGATGCTTTGCTGCAAGTTATTCATTGTACATTCCAACTTTTTTTTTTTTTTTTCCTCTAAGATACTAGCATTTTTCAGCACATAAGCACATATTAGTTTACAAGAACAGTATGCTGTTCAGTTGTGGAAAAGGAAATGCCTTAACAGATGGACGGAATTCATCTGATGTGAAGCTTTACCATTGCTATTCCTACATAATGCACTTCGGAGTGAAGGTTATTGTCATGTGACTCAGGATAACCCCAAGAAGTGACCCAGGACTGGCATTCTGCCAAAACATTAAGACTAGATCACCAAAGCCTAAAAAAGCCGACACAGAGTAGCAGAACAGAAACTGCTTCGCATTAAATTCTGCCACAGATTTTGCAAATGGATGTACACTACCTGTCCATCACTTCAAACTGAAATAGCTTACCCGTCTCAGAGGACTGTTTTAATGCATGGTCAATGTTCATACTTTGCTTTCCAAACATTTGTGCTGGGTCAGAACAGCTTTAATTAATATAGGTGCTCACCTGACCCAAGACAGGAGAAGGAGATGATCCTGTAACAGTGGCAGGAGTGAAGGCTGATCGCTGCCGCAGCTGTCCTGCACTGGGAACAGTCAAAGATGGCTGAGCTGCCCAGGCATCCCAGTTATCAGTCTCTGCTTTCTCACTAGTGTTTGTTGGCCATCTATTAAAAAAAGGGAATGACAAAATTTCTACTGTTTTCATCTGAATAAAAACATTCATGCAGGAAGATTGTGCAGAAGAAGAATTTCTACATTCTAGGTCAATTTCTTCTAACTGAATATTCCACAAGCATCATAACTCTCAGGTGGAAGTAGTGCAATCAAACATAGACTAACAATAAATTTATCTTAAAAAGGCAATCTCTAAATACAGTTGCTTGTCCTTGCTACTTAAGACCAGCTGTTCCTGTAATTTAGTTTTACTTCATAGCTGTGCCCCAATAGAACAGAAGTTCAAATAGTGCAGTCTATATTATGCACAGTGGAAAGAGGTACCTTAATAATAACAAAAAAATATCATTCTTTTCAAAACTGGTTTGAAATCTGCACACCTGCACATCACTGGTCTCTCATATCCCTTTCTCCTATGCATCACTTTGCTGCTTCTCATTCAAATCCTTGCCTTTTTCCTTTTTTTTTTCTGACTTCTTTCAGCTCTTTAGAGTTGTATGCAATCTCTTATCCTTTTTATGTTATCTCTTGTCCTTTAAGATGCCTACTAAATCTCATAATCCACATCTCTGCCTCGAAATACCCACTTGAACAAAATCCCCTGAACTCTAGGAGTGTAAACAAAGCATCTATCTTAAACCTAAGTTTCCTTTGCCTGTTGCTTGTGCTATTAGTTGGAGTAATCAATTGTCCACCTAGATTTTAATAGTTACTAAAGGTTACAACCATCCCTAACCCCTATAGCATGTCAAGGACAGTATTATTAGTATAAATGCTCTGGGACTCATTTTGTATTGAACTTGAATATTAATTTTTATGAAAAGCATAAAAGCATGCATTATCCATATAAGGTAGAAACAGCTTTGTCCAAAGTATGATTTAGTCCAAACAATAAAATCCAGTATGTGCCAACCATCTCCAGGAAGCTCAAGATTTAGTCTTACCCTCCTCCCTCAGAAAAATCACTGTTTGTAGCAAAACAGAAAAAGTTTAAATAACTGGAAAAGTTACTGTGAGCTATTTGATGAAAATTTTGAAATAGAACATATTAGGTACTGTAATATTGCACTAAGATATTTATATTTTAATTTGTAAATCTGTATTACATGATCAAAAGATAACACAGTTACTTACCCAACCCCATTTTAGGGTTGACAAAACTGCACAGAGCATTGAGTTAACAATACATCTAAGGAAGGGCACATGTTCTACTTACATCAGTCTTATTAATCTTGTGATAAGGAATTAATAAATCATCTTTTCATGTGAACTCTGTCATGATCATATTTTGCATAATCCAAGTTGGAAACCTTCAATGAGGATTGGTGTCAACTAATTTAAGAGAAGGAAAGTGAAGACCTTGGGATTTCCACCATGTTACCATCCTTAAGAATGTCTCCTATTTGTGGTGTGTCCTTCTGCATTGCTCATGCAGATATGATGGGAGCACAGTTGAAGTTCCACAGGGCTGCGATTTTAACCATTTACTACAGAAAAATATTTTACTTCAAACAAGCTACTTTTATTTTGCAATCTTGATACTCTGCGTTAACTGCCACCACAGTCAAATCAATTAACAAGGACTCTACCACATTTCAGCTGATAATCACTACCCAAACATACGTTGAACTGAAGTCTGCCCAGTTATTGGTAGTTGTAGTACACTCTGTAGAAGCAGGAGTTCCTAGCGATGTAGTGGTTTCATGCACAGAAACTTTTGGTGCAGCAGCTGCCTCAACTGCTGGCTTTACAGAAGCTGGAACTTCATTTTCAGGTATTTTCTCTGCATAGTTTGCAGGGAACCATCCAGTTTTCCCCTTCAATTCTCCACCAAGCCACCCTGGTTCTCCAGTCTGGCTTTCATCCACCTGTAGATGCATTAAGTTGGAAAGTTAAGAAACATAACCTACAAATGGATTTTTTTACTTAAAACAATCGACCTCATCCACAGTAATTAACTTTCTATAGTTACAGAGACAGGACACTTTCATTACAAATACAAGTTCCACCTAGGTAGAAGTTTGTCATCGTTATTTAATTTACCTTTGGAGGATTATGTTGACAGCTATTCCTTCTATGGCATATTAATAGATAAGGGAACATTTTGCAATGCAATACTGCTTTGCAATTTGTTTTTTTCTTTTTTTTCCCCCAAGCCAAAAATCGAAAAGATTTCTTGGTAATGAGGTAGGAAAATTTTATTTCAGTCCTAATACATAAGCCAAGCATCAGTTTTTAAACAGTTGCTTGAAAGTCTGTTGTAGTACAGGAGACCTGGGAGAAGCGAGTTCTAGAGAAATCCTGTAAATATTGACATTTCTGGTTTAACTAACACAAAATGCAGCTTTTAAGAAGTTTTTCTAGATTTTCTCTTGCAGAAAATACAACAAAAAAACACACAGCATATTAAAACCAACATCCATCGAACAATTCAAAACAAATCCACAGATTTGCCAAAGTATTTATACAAAACAGTTCCATGGTAGGTTTTCACACGTAAATTTGCAGGTCTCTGTTCTTTCCCCTCACTCTGATATCTTTGCCAAGCCATAAAGTACTGGATAAAACAGGGCTATTTTTGCAGCTGTATTTTAATTCCTACTTATTATTATAATCTTGTTAAGCTACGACTTTGCAAATTTCACACTTTCCTGGTAACTTTTCTTAAACATTTCGCACATTTGTTCTCCAAGCTCTACTGACAGACTACTGTCTTAGTCTGCTATTTCAACAAAAGTGATCAGTTTAAATTCTGTGAGCTGCAGCTAACCACATTCAGCAAGAATCGCAGAAGAAAAGTAATTCACTATGGCTACCCCTGGTGAATCAATATGGTGGCTAAATACCTCCAAGGCAATGTCAGTTACAGAAACTTTTTAGAAAAAAAAAAAAAAGGCAGTAATTGTATTTGGTAATAATTTTGGTAAATTTGGTGTTCTGGCTACCTAATTGCTTTGATAGGTCAAAAGAATCTCAGCTTTCAAGCAAATCGTTACATATGAATAGGGTTTACACCTTGGATACCTAAATAACACCTACTTTGTACAACGATCTGCTGTTTATAGCTGCAGATGCCCCACTAATGAAAAGTCAGATGACCAACTCCAAAACAGTGGCTGTTCTTTGGCAAGAATTTCTCTCATCTGTTTAGGCCATTAGCAATCAGTATTTCAATATACGTAAGAGTTCAAACAACCGCGTAACTCAAGAGCTGACAGTGGCAGATAACAGTACGGCAGTCAGAGATGCTTAAATTTGTGCTTCTAAATCGCCTGACACTATTTCCTAAAAATCCATTATCAACATGAGGGGTTTGATGATAAGAGCTTCATGAGCTAAGGAATAACAAACAGTATCCTCTTCAGTCAAAGGAGCTTTCAGTATATGACATTACACAAAAATAACATATAGTAGTGTCTCAAGCTAGATACTTCTACAGTTGGAAACACACCTATGAAGTCACACTATAGATTTTAACAAAATATAACCTGATCAGCTGCTTGTTTGGAGAAAAAAAGTAGTGCCAAAAAAATTATTTGTGGCAACAGTGCAAACTAGTCACTCTAAACTAAAGGTGGGACCATTCTTTCGCATAGAAGTGACTGAAACCTAAGCAGCAAAGCTTCTGCCTCTGATACTGCCTGGACTACTCATCTGAGCTGCTAATAGATTGCTTTGCCGTAGGCCAGTTATTTGCTCTTTGACTGCCTCCTATTGCAATTTGTATCCCACACCCCTCTTCTGGTGCTAACCAATCCATTATTTCTGCTTTTTGTTGGGTCCACCTGCTGTCTCAGTCCCTATTAACTCAAAGCAAAGCCAGAAATAAATGGACTACATGCTTGACCAGTTCAACGTGGTTTTACTGCAGTGCAGAGCAAAATTTCCACTGCAGCACTGAATGGGATTGTTAAAGCAGCAGTATGAGTGATGGAAGGTCACAGCAGAGGGTGAATCTTGGAAGAGAGGGAGAAATGGACTATGAGCACCTGACACCAAGTTGAATATCTAAACAGTAATAATAGTCGCATCGTTTCTATTCATTCAGTTGGTCAAGTAGTAACTAGAATCACTAATGTACAAAAGAATCAGGATTGAAAGCCAAAAATCTGTTATGGTGATGTTCTGAAAAGGGCATCTTTGAAATGAATCGCAGTCATACAGAAAGTACTGCGATTTTTCAGAAAGAAATATTTTGTACAAGCAGAGAAAAAAAACCCACCAAAGGGTTTTAAAAACAATTCATTTAATGTCTCTTTAGAAGACAGCTTTAAGTTAAAATATTTCATAAAACAGCCTATTAGGATAGTCAAATTTATGCATATTTAATCCAATTAAGTTTCTATGTATACTCATGAAAAGGCACTTTGAAGAATAATTTTAACTCTGTAATTCATAGAAAATCTAGTTTCTCAGGTATTAGTGTAAAATATAAACTGCATCTTTTTTTATAGTACAGTACTGGAACCCTAAATAAATTTGAGCCTTTTTAAAATTAATTTGTTCTAATTTCCTTATATTTTCACACCCACCATCCCCAAGTCCCTACAACAAACTATCCCAGATTATTTTTTTCCAAAATACAACTAGACTTTAAATGTACACCTGAACAGTGAATTATAGTGTGCGTGGGTTTAATTTTTATTTATTCAACTGTACTTCACCGCCATGCCTTATAACTACTTATTTCCAGTGACTGAACACAAGTGACAGGAGTACCAGCAACACAACTCTTAGCAGCAAAAGCAATAGGTCCAGTTAGTATCTCTGCCAACAGAAGGGCTGGCTTTGCAGTGGCCTACTCCACTTTGACCTGGCTTGTTTATCACCACTACCAGTGCATGCATACAAAAAGAGAAGCCCTGTTTTACGGTAGATATTCTCTCTACATACAAAGCCAAACCTTAATACTCTCACAAAAAGCTAAACAGAGTACCATCATCTGCCTTGTTCAACTACCTATCCATTAAATGACCATTTTAATTCTATTCCAGTCGTAGGCTTTTGATCTAGATATTTGAGACTACTGGAATTTCTGTTATAACGCTGAATATAAGCCCTGCAGGCCAGAGGTCATGTGCTGATTACACACACACAGCATCTAACACAACAAGGCTGTCTATGTGTCTAATAGAAAAGAACATTCATTCTAACTCTCACAATCAATAACTAACAAAACTGATGAGAAACTATCATTATGAATTTGTTTTAGACTTTCCATGGAAGCTTCTTTATGAACTTCTTGTTTAACTTATGTTCTCCTGCTATCAGAACCACTACAGTTCAGTAATTCAATAATTCGTCTGTATTCCACTGAATTATGCTTAAGTTTATTTAAATAAGCTGTATTATATAAAATATTATCAGCAACAACAGAATCCATACATTTACTCAAGCTGGAGCCTAACAGCAGAAAACGCCAGCAGGATTTGCTTTGTAAGAGAGCTATCGAAAGAAAAGAATTCCATACATTGTATACATATATTCATACACATAACAGAAACTTCTTGAACAGATAGAGTCCTGAAAGAGGGATGGCTTTCTTGGCTCAGAGTATTTGTTGCCAGATGAAAGCTTGGTTAAGTTATAGTTAGGATTATAAATCAATCTAGCTTACAGTGAAAGAAATTTAAAGTACATAGAAAAGTAAGAAGCAGAGAAAGCAGAAATCCAAGTTAAGAGAAAATATAATAATCCTGTAATTAAAAAGTGGAAGAATTAAAAAAAATACAGCCCACGCCCCACACATTCTCTAAACCATTACATAAGATACATCAGTGCTACAGATAACTAACGTGTTTTGGAAAGTCAGGCAGAAGAAAGTCCTCCTCAAGTTTCCAAATACTTTTCCTTTCAGAATAACCCCTCATCCTTCTCCTTCATTTCCACCAAGACAGGTCTCAAGATTCATGCACAGTGTAAAAGTGCATTACACTGTTGTAAAAACTATTTACAAGCTATACATCTATTAAAGCCACACGTCATTCTGACATAATGAATTCTGCAGTCCTAATTACATCCAGGATTTAGGCCTGGTTCCTGTGTGCGCAGTTAATGGATTTGGGCTTCAGCTGGATTCTTTGCTCACGGCAGTTACCATTTGGGTGGAATCTTCTGTGCAGCTATAGGATTACAGAACATGATTGCACAAGCCCGCACGCACAAAGCCACTTACAGTGCTAAAATAGTGAAGTGCTAAATTTGCCTGTGTTAGAACACAGTTATTCTAAGCAATCCTTAGTTTGTTGCACACACTAAACTCCTAACTATATAGGTCAGCTTAACTACAGAGTTGCATTTATGTCATAAATTAGACACACTTTAACATGTAAGCTTGTAAATGATAAAAACATAACCAACTCGAAGCTTTCAGAAGCACAGGACACAACAAACATTTAAGGACAGAGAAGAGTTTAGGAGTCCAAATGCCCATTATCAAAAGTAAGTTCTGGTCCATTGCACTTAAATTACTTTTGACAATGTGAGCTAGTTCGTTAATTTTACCCTAGGTGAATTCAAAAACAAGTAAACTACATGGTAACAAAATCTGTATTTATGAAAATGAATAAATTGCATAGACTTCCTAACAGTCATATAGCACACTTACCCATTCCCTTTTAACCTCCATCAGGAAAGCAATGATTTAAAGCAAGGCAGAATTATAACACATTTCACAAAAGTCTCTTAGTTATATTAACTTTTCTAAGAGTAGCTCATTTAAGTAATTACTACAGAGCAGGAGATAAATCCCACAAGAATCAGTCATCAAGTTTAATTATTGTCAAAAGTAAGTTAAATAAAGAAGATTGAGAGTACTTAACTCTACTTTTGTAGAGTAAGTTAAAGTCCAAAAGTAACATATAGGAAGACTCAGATTACCTCATAGTCTCTATTTAAAATGTTTGAAGTGCTCCTTAAAATCATATATCTTTGGCAAAAATGTTATTTCCCTGCAACTCTACCAAATAGTGATCACACTTCCTCAAGGAAAAAAAAAGTTTAATTATATGCCTAGGCTATAACCTATTTCCCAAGAAAGCAAGACAATCCAGCATTTTTCAATAGCCGAAGGAGACCCATGTACCTGTATCCTGTCTCATTTAACAGCTGACTGACCGATACTATTTCTTGATGCAGATTAACAACACATTGCATTGTTGTTCTGAATAACAGGCAGGCCTCTTCCTGAGTCATTCAGTAGTACTACTAATCCAGGATTCACCTTTTATTTTCCAAAAGCAGATTCTAATGTCACAAACACTTCAGTGTGACACGGCTGAATCAATTAAAAAAAAAAAACTAAAAAACCACCAAACCAAAAAAGGCTGAGAGATGAAGGCTCATCTCCCCAGAATATATGCTTTTAAAAAAATAGTTATCATTACAACATATGAGAGGCTACCAAGTGTATTTTTTCCAAAATCCATTCTTACTAAACTGTGCCAAAACACGATAGGTCTTAAAATCTATCTTGTAGGGGTAGAACACTATAATGAATATACTTTCCCACAATGAACGAGGTATCATTTAATAGTTGCACTAGGAATTTTCATTATGAATAGACATATGCATGTTAAGATCATACTAGCAATTTATTAATATACACATTTAATAACTGCAGTCATTAATAACAGAACTATAATTTTAGAGATAATTAGAGACAAAAGCAGAATATTGCTTTAGAGTTTAACGCAACAGTTAGAGGCTGACCATATTCCTGTATTTCATTATCTACTTAGAAAAAAGAAAGGAAATTATTCTGTATCAACACACCTGCAACCAAAATTTTTAGGTTTTGAAGTTTCCATTTTTTAGAAATGACATTTTATCTACTGTATATCCTCTTTAAGATAAATTTAATAGTATCTCAAAAAAGAGTTAAGTAGATTAAAAAAACAAAACCAGAGTAAATTATCATACAAACAATTCCAAGTTACAATTATGCTAGAACATTATGTCGAAAACTGCCACCAAAAGAGTTGTATAAAAAATTTCCAGTATTACTGAAGAAGTATCATCATCATACAAAGACTATGTTAATATTTATGTGATCATGACAGAAGTGCAGCCATCTTGTAATTTACCATAATTGTTTCACATAGTACTACACTGGACATAACATTCTCTTAATAAAGGCAATTTTCCAAATTAAAAATTTTACACTGCTCTTGTACTATTCTTATAAAAAAGTAAATTTCTTATCAGAAACATACTTTATTTACCAAAGCCAGTATTTGATTCCACACATAATAGCCACTCTCTCAACAGAAAATAACAGTGACTTTATTCCCTAGGTACCTTGGAGGACAAGAAGCCTCTCGCTGAGATAATTTCCATATAGGAATCTTTTCAAACACACTGACAGACACACAGAGCTCAGCATACTAAAACTGATACAATCTACTCATAGATTATGTTTAAACTTCACACTTACAATGAACTGTAAGAAGCTATCTGTTACTATAATAGGCTTACTATGTCATACCACATCATTTTGGGATTCACTGAAATATTTCTTTCGAGTCTGTAAAAAATCTTGCTATGTATAATTTCAATCACACAAGTGCAAAAGCTTAAGTAATTTTTTCAAGTAACATCATAATCCCTTCTTACCATGACTATGTCGCCAGGCTGAATAGTGATTTCATCGTGGCTTCTTGATTCAAAAGGATACAGTGCTCTATAATACACTATTTTTACATCCTCCTGAGCAGAAATGGTTAGGGGAGCTTTTTCTGAGCAGAAAAAAAACAAAAACAAAACCATACAAAGAAAAAAAACACCATAACATATCATTTTTAAGTATTTGAAAAATGAGGAGGAAATCAAGACAAAAATTAACAAACCTTACACTGTCTGTAGGAAGTATATTATCCCCCTTTTATGCAAGGGAAAATATGAAAAGGAGTTATTTAAAATACAATTTTCATGCTATTTTCTTTTCTAAACATCAGGTAAAATATTACTATATTTTACCTTTTATGATATATACAACTATTTTCACAAAAATTACTTTTCACATGCTTCAATGATTTTGTAGGTTAAATTCGATCAGCCACAGGGTCAAGTTATACAGTGGTGTTCTTGCATATATCAACAGTACCCCAGATACTTTTAGAGTCTGCTTGTGTAGCCGCTTCATTTATGGTGGCTGAAAAGAGGTCCCTTACAAATGGTGTTTTAAAAAAATTACACGCTAAAGATCAGAAAAAGAAGAACACAAAAAACCCCAAAGATATAAGCTAAATTGCTCTTGTATAATGCACTTCCTATTTTGCCTATTCAGTCATAAAAGTGCCCTCTGCTACTCCGCACAAATAAAACCTAGCAAGAGGACATATTACATTAAGTCAATTCTAGATTTGGACTAAAAGATAGAAGGTAATTTTCCCTTTTTACAATCCTTTGATCAACTATTTAAACAAGTATTACATTCCCAATCAGTTCTTTTGTGTATGTATCAAAGGCACTTAAGGGGGAACCGTGATTCCCAATACAGGCAAAAATCAGGTGATAATGCAGAGAAAAAGCTTTCAGCTGAAAGTGATCACGTGCGTAGCAGAAAAAAGGGAATTACATCTTAGACTTCAGGTCATTTGTTCAGTAAACAACATGCATGAGGAAGGGGGAAGAGGAAAAAGGATAACTAAATGACATTGCTACTTGCTTGCTACTGCTCTAAGAGATCCCAAGGCATATTTTCCACACCAAAATAAGAATTGTAAAGAAAAGTACAGAAATAATTTTTGACATCTTGCACCAAGATCTTACAACAACTTAGAGCTAAGATTCTCTCTTCAGCTGGCACCATGAGTCTCATCAACTGTGCTTTACGCTCTGCTAACCACACTTTTACACACTTTACCACACTTTTAGGAAGACTAGTGAAGCCTAAAAGACCAACTTTTTGGAATCTAAAGCTCAATCCATATATGATTTACTTTAATAAGACTAGCAATCCAATCTTGAAACATAATATTCTTCTGTATTAAATGGAAAGATAAAACAGAAAAGAATTGTTCAAGAGGCACGTGCAACAGCATTTCTTGATTTTTTTCCTCTACCTGCATTTGACCAAGGAGCCTGGACAGCTGGCTTGACTGGCTCTTGATGTGGTTGGAAAAGCTTACTCAGTTTCTCTTGCATTTCCTGTTTCCCCTTATCCTCACTCTCCTTCTTCTTGGTTATTTCTTCCCTTTTTTGCTTTTCATCTTCCTGCATTTTTTTTGGCCACTGAAGTTCTTCTTCTGGTTGCACTCGATCAACCTGCTGTTTATCCCGTTCCTGGATTCGCCTGTTGGACAATTAAAGTGGTTTTTTTAAGCCAGTCAAACACAAGTTAGTTGTCCTTGTGTGTGATCTATAGTATAAAGTGTACTCTTTAAGGCTTTCGCATACCCTGTAAGAGCTTTTAATTTTATTTTGGTGAGTTATCAACCACTTCACAGCATCTTCTTACACAATGACTCCTACAGGGCAAAGGAGAAATATACAGAAAGATTTGCTATGACTCCATATGTATACATAAAGAAAAAGCTGTGACTCAAAGACAAATGAGAGAACACCATTTCATGTAACCTACTACTAAGCACAGGCCTCCGTTACCTTGAATTGCTTCATCTTTGAGCTTAAAAAACTACCTTTAACATAATTTTTCTTTATTTTAACATGCATATCAATTCTGTATCCTCACAATACGATTCCACAGAACTCTAAGAGGTACAGAGCAACTTGAGCATACAGAAGTGATAACCTAGTTTTGTTTTGGAGCTGAATGTAAGATAGGAAAAACCATTCAACACTATTTTTCTTTTCAGAGTTCTTCAGAGATTTGTAAATGCTGAACTTTATCTTCTTTATGTGATCTCTTCTCCTCTACAATGACATGAAAATATTTACCTCTGTTTTTCTAATTATTGTATGCAACTTTACACATGTATCTTAGAACAGTCTCTTAGTCAGCTTACAGTGGTCTGAAAATTACAAGCTTGACAACATTCAGTATCTTACACTTTCAGTCCCACCTCTTCAACTCAACAACATCTGAGTCTCAACTCGGACATTCAACAATATTTGTGTATTCCTTTTTCATAGTTTTCCATCGGATTTATAAATCTCATGCAGCTAAGTGATGAACCATACGGAGAACGGAAGACAAAAAAGAGAAAAAAAAAATCTCCCTTGGCTGAAGAAACAAAACTCCTCAGCACCCAAAAACCCAGACATGAGCCCTTCACTTCCATGTAACTGTAAGGCTGCTTTTCAAAATCTCTCCCCAAGCAGCCTAATTCAAGCAATCCGAGAATCCCATTATATCAGCATTGCAAGTTACCATTTTCATTTGCCTCACAATTCCTTTTATTTAATCTGAGCCTGAAGATATTAGCTACAGTTATCACCAGACATTTTCAATAATGAATTCTTACCATAAAGTTTTCCCTGAAACCCGATAAGCAGCAAATTATACACTTTAATTTTTATCTCCTCAGCACTAACTTCAGCTCTAAAATGCAGGAAGAAGTCAGGAATACTGATCAAACAAATTGGTTCTGCTTATTTTCTCAAAGCCACAAACATCCCTAGGTAAGGCTCAAAATAGCCAAATCAGGAAAAACAAACAAACAAAACCAAAAACAGTAATCAGAAAATGTGGCAGTCCCGATCCTCCTGCTGAGGGGCAAGGAACAAAATATCTGCAAGTCTCACACAGCACTCTTGCAGAACTATTCAGAAAGTTTCACATTCCCAACTGTGAAAGCTAACAAGTCCTTCCCCCCCAACAGACGACAACAGAAAAATATTCTCTGCTAGCAACAGTTTGCACCAGGAAAGATAACTCTAAAGGGCTATAACAGATGCAGTGTGCTTTATTTTGTTCCATGACCTGTTCCACTTCAATACTTTCTTCATACTTACAAAATTAGTGACAAACACATGACAACAAGCTGGTCATTACAGACTTGGACTACTATATAGAACATATTTTGTCCAAGGGCAACATGACTTCCTGGCCTAAAACTGTGTGAAAAAAATTAATTCCTTAAGGGGAAAAATCCATTTTCCAAACAGTAGGTTGGCACCAGAGGGCAAAAATCTCATCTATATCAATTTAAGTTTTGAGTTGACAAGAGTATTTTTTGAGAGATATCAAGGTACCCAGTATGTGTTTAAGATAGCAGCTACTAACTTGCAAGCTCAAAAAAAATAATAATCTTTGGTTCTCAATGAAATTGCTGATACCATTTCAATATTCCACATCAGTATAGTATGAGTAGAGGTTAAGACACCAGTGTGAAGGATATCACTTCCTCCTCTATGAAGTGCTGCCACATTTTTCTGTCTTCAATGTAAAGTCATCTAACAAGTTAATAAATTCACTGTTCTGATAACCTCCTATTTTAATCACTGAATTTGTCCTTTGTATCATAGAATACCAGGTTGGAAGGGACCTCAAGGATCATCTGGTCTAACGTTTTTTGGCAAAAGCATGGTCTAGACAAGATGGCCTAGCACTCCATCCAGCTGAATCTTAAAAGTGTCCAATGTTGGGTAATCCAACACTTCCCTGGGGAGGTTATTCCAATGGCTGATTGTCCTCACTGTGAAAAATGTTCCTCTTGTGTCCAATCGGAATCTCCCCAGGAGTAACTTGCACCCATTACCCGTCATCTTTTCAATACAAACCTTGTAAAAAGGGAGTCTCCATCTTCTTTGTAGCCACCCTTAAAGTACTGGAACATTGTGATGAGGACTCACCTAAGCCTTCTTTTCTCAAGGCTGAATAAACCCAGTTCTCTCAGCCTTCCCTCATATGGCAGGCTTCCCAGTCCTTTGGTCATCCTGGTGGCCCTCCTCTGGACCCTCTCCAGCCTGTCTACATCTTTCTTATGTAGTGGGGATAAACTGAACACAGTATTCCAAGTGTGGCCTGGCAAGCACTGAGTAGAGTGGGATAATGACTTCTTTATCTCTGCTGTTGATGCCCTGGTTGATGCAACCCAGCATCTTGTTGGCTTGCTTTGCCACTGCGGCACACTGTTTGCTCATATTGAGCTTGTTGTCGACGAGGATTCCCAGGTCCCTTTCCACAGCTGGGTTGATCCCAGTCTGTGCTGCACTCCTGGATTATGTTTTCCCAGGTGCAAGACCTTACACTTGTCTTTGTTGAGCTTCATAAGGTTCTTGTTAGCCCACTCTTCCAGCCTATCCAGGTCTTCCTGCAGGGTGGCTCTCCCTTCCAAAGTGTCCACTTCCCCACTCAGTTTGGTATCACCAGCAAACGTCATCAGGGTGCACTTGATCCCATCATCCTGATCATTTGTGAAGTATTCAGAGCCAACTACTCAGTAGTTTTGTTGCAACACTGAAGCTGCACCACATACACAGCTCAATTTTCTTTTGACTTGAGTGGCGTCTTACCTGGCAAGTTTAGTCAGATGGGTTTTAGATGACAAATTGAGTTTTTAATTATGTTTCTAGTAGTGCGATTAAGTCTTCCCATACTTACAAACCAAGTTTGCTCTAACTGCTGGAGTGAGAAAAGCAGATGAAAATGTATCCTGGAGGGTTGTGGGGTAAGTCTTATTTCTTTTTTCTTTCCACAAAAGGTGCAGAATTTTCTTCTTTGATTGTTATGGAAGCTAATATCACAAGTTGAAGACAAGTAAGGGAATAAGAAGAGACAGAGAAGCTAAAGAAACACAAGCCTAGGTGTGAGCTCCACGGTTTGGAGGTAGGAATAGAAAACTTTCCATTCTGCTCTTTTCCTTACTTCAAGACTCCTGATATGCTAGTAATTGTGGAATATGACCTCCAATCTGGGATTTATCTATACTTGCATTTTTTACTCTTTTAATTTCCTTTTTCTCTCACCAACTGCATTATACCACTTAGGCAGTTCTTATGCCAAACACCAAGAGTAAGCTCTATTCATTTTATTCAAATGTGGGGTTTTTTCCCCCCCTCTGAACTGTATATTACTCCACAATTGTACAAGTCTGCATGGAATTAGCCTTAAGATAATTAAGACTAATTAGCCACAAGAGATCTTCAAAAAGACCTCTACCATCCCCAAATATGTATGTCTGTATCTTTGCTCAATTAAGTTATGTGCACAATTCAGTGCATAATTACCAACAAAAAATTAAGATGATTCTCAGTATAAAGTGATCATGGTAATCCATTAAGCCAAAGGTTAAAATGTACATAATTATGATCTTAAGATTATTCTTTCTTCCTTTGCTTTCACTAGAGCTATAAAAAGGCAGCATATTTCCGTAATCATTATGGGGCAGTATGCAGGTTGTGAGCAATAATCATTTACCTTATCCATTTTGGTGTCTGTTGGAAATCAGTAAGACTGGGAGATTGCTTATTAGCAGGTATACCAATTACGATTATTTAGAAGCTTGATTATTTGGGCAGCATGAAGTTTTACCATTACCAATAATGTCTGAATGCTCAGCTAGAATGAAAAGCCAGACATGAAGTTTTCCATGGCTGAAGTTTTTCTTTTTTTAAATCTGCTTTTTTAAATTTCAATTTTTTCTGGGAAGAAGTATTTAATATTCTGAAATAGATTATTTTTAGTATTCCTACACTCACAGTACCTCAGCAGCCTTCTTGTTTCCAATGAAAGTTCCAATATAATTATTCTATTTAGTGTAGTTATTTCTTCATGATAGAAAGCTGTTTTCTTAGAAAGTTTGCTATTTCTGAAGTTGATCTTTAAGATTTGTAAATGCATAGGTTTTATGCAAATGATTTAAGAATATCTAAATTTAATTGCTTTCTATGTATACGATTTCTGTTTGAAGATATGCTTTTCACTGACACCCTGTTTTGGTTTTGCCTGAAATGTAAAAACTATGTTGGCTTATCAAATAATAACACAGACAATCCGTTTGCTTTAGGTCACAGTCCATGTAATGCTATAAACAATAATTTAAGAGCCCTCGTTCCCAGGCTTTTGTTTTCATCTCTTGACCAACATCTGTCTACATTAAGAGTATAAAAGCCCGGCAATTGCTAAAAATTAAATCAAACAGCTACTGATAAATGATGTCAGAATAGAATTAGTTGCTAGCCTATATCCATTCACTTCACATAAATATAAGTACATGTAGAAAAAACAAATTGGAAAAACACGTAGAAAAACAAAGTGTGTAGCAAAAAAACATTAGCTGTCTGTATAAAAGAGCTAGTTAGTTACACTGTTCAAGAACCTCTCTAGGTGTAGAAGTACACTACGTGTTTAAGTAACACTGCTAAGATCTGTATGTACCACTGACAGTTAGGAGTCACAGACAGATGTAGCAGCTCATCTCCACAGCACACTTCTCATCCAAGGATAAATCAAGAGATTCCCATAGTTTTAAGAGGGACCATCTGCATCGAAATGAAACTTGGTCTAGGTCTTGGGTATTCTTGCCATTTACTGATACATTATTTGAGATTGGATTATGCTCCTGGAAACACCAAGTTTTATTTCATTTGTTTGCAAAATGCTTTGCCCTCTAACATGTCTACAGAGAGGGCTTAAATTAGAGCAGTTTGTTACCTTTGAGTTTCTTTTTGCTTTTCCAGTTCTACTGTCTTCCTTTCTTGTTCCTTTTGTTTCAGCCTCTCAGCTTCCAAGTTCTTTTGCTTCTGTAGTTGCTGTTTGTTATGTATTTCTCTCAGCTCCTACAGAAAAAAGTAAAATATGTGTAAACATATACTATGTGAATCACAACTAATGGCTCCATATATTTCATTGTGAAGTAACAAAACTTGCAAATGGTTGGATACCTCTGTTCAAACCTGCAGTATTGCCAAATGCATTGGCAGACATTTAAGGTAGATTTCAAAGGTCTGTAAATCAATCAATCACTGTTTTCCTATTTTTATCCATATAACTTGAGATGTTAAAAGGTTAAGAAACAAGAAAGCCATTTTTTAATGGGACTAAAAAGTTGACAGAAGTTTGACAAAGCTTAATCTGAAAAGACACTTATGTTTTATTTTGTTTGCTGGTTTGTTGAATTATTACATTCCATACAAAAATTTGCCTTCTGAGCCGCTCATACTAGCAATTGTTTCAATTAATCAGATTTATTTTGAACATAATGGTGATTTAATAAAGAATCTTCAGGATAGTTTTATAACCAGGAGATTGAAATCTTTAAGCCATGTCTTTGGGATGAATTGTGGCACAGAGAGTATTCATACATATACAAGTCAGTTTTCCTCTAATTAACTGGAAGGACATTGCCTGGAACATTTAGAACATAAATAATAATAAAATCATCTCTTTCTCAAGATTTGTTTTCTGCATGAACACCTATTAACACAATTACAAATTTTATCCTGAATCTCTTTGCATAACCTAGAATTTTGCATCTGAACTCCTCAGTATTACAAGGAAAAAAAGGATAACTTTACCTATGACAACTGAAATTTTTCATTGAAAATAGTTCACTTTAAAAAAATGTATATGTTTTAATGAAAATACAGTGCAGACAAAAATATGCAGAAAAAGTTTGTAGCAGGAAATTGCTTCTAAATCTGTATTTTAATAATGTCTGCTTTTATTGAAATATGTTGACTTACATCAGGCAGGTTTGTTTAGTTTGTGTATCCTTAAAAGCTTTATCTTAATTCATTCAGGGATTGAAACAGGTAATCTTAAAAGTATTTGGATAGTTTTTCAGAAATTCACAATCTACAAATTAGCCAGATGAAGACTTCCTGTAACTATCCTCATGCACTGACAGAAATGTAGAAAATTGCGTAAGAGTAAAAAACCCCAAACAACCAACCAGATATCAAGTGATTCAAAGGGCCAAAATGAGAAAAGTTTCAGTAAATTAATTTCACAACATTAGTAACTTCTTAGCTATAGTTTCATAAAAGCTGAAGTTAGTACTTGTTTATTTACAGACTGTACTTGCACTGCGTCTAAAAATTTTGGTTGAAGTAATACATGCATTAGTGCTGAATGACTGCACACTGAGCAACATCAAATTTTAAGATGTCAAAATAACTACATTACGAAAAAGAGTAGCACATGACCATTGCAAGGTATTAAAAACACTTCTCATATATGGATGGAAGTTTAAAAAAAAGAAAAGTTAAAATAACCTCACGTCCTACCTCTCAGTCTCATTTCATTAATGATCCTCAGTTTTAAATTCAATGAAAACAGAATTCAGCATCATTAAGGAGATAATCAGTTCTTAGACAAGTTTTAATTAAAACTCTGCTAAGGTCATGAAACTCACTGGAATACAGAGATATTCTGGGCAATACCATTTTTTTATGAGCATCATTATTTTCCATAGTCACATTAAAGCTCAGCAGACAGTTAGGATCTAGAATGGGTATTATGGAACGTAAACTAAACTACTCTTGCAAAATCACTAGAATTATTCAGGCAGGATATTGCATTTGGGAAAATTTTTAACCTCTGAATGCCTGTGGTTATAAAGATTCATGCAGAGCCTGAATAGAGCAACAAGAAAATAAAGGGATCAGGCGATTGCAGTGAACACATGGTTGGTCAACTGCACCCGGAGCCTCTGACCAGACTATGAGTTTCTGAAGTGCTAGTTAGACTGAACAGTCATTTTCAATAACCATATGGTATTAATTCAGCTTCTTTAATGTTGTTACACTTGTACTATATTGAGGTACAAAGGATTTGACCCTTGTTTAACTTCTCTGGGGGAATCACAGTCCCCGGATTCTCTACACGATTACCTGAACCCCTATTTGTATCAAAAAATACGTACAAGTACAAAGGACAAATATACAACCATAAGAACATTAGGAGCAGCGTGATTTACAAGTATTCATCTGAAAGGACAGAGATTAGAAAATGGCACAGTTGAAAGCAGTTTTCCGCTTGGCCAGCAGCATTAGGAGTTTTTGTAGATTGCAGAAATCCATAAAACTAAAAACTAAAAGCTCTTGAAGCTCAAAATACAACTTATGTGAAGTTATCAAATATCTTGACAAGTATTCATGATTTTTAACAAGCTGTTTCTCTTTTCTGGATAAAGAGACTGCTATCCAAAGCACTAGTTTCTCACTCTTACGTTTAGTTCAGCTTTAGCACAGGCTTCCATTTAGAAATCTGTTTTTGTTCTACTTGCTCTAGCTTTCCTTCACATTGACATCCCCTCCTGTCACTTAACTTCGTATGCCAAGAAGCTCAAGATTCTGAGTCCTGGCTAATGAGAACTCCTCTTGCTATTGAGCAGAGATCTGGGATAGTCACAGACTTCTAAGAAGGCAACACTGAAGATAACATGTTGTTACATGCAAAATTTTAAGTTATTTAGACAACAGTGCTCTCCAGGTTTGTTTTTACTTCCCCTTTGCATCTTTATTCCAAACTCTGGTGTTTGAGCAGTTAAACAGAAATAATCACCAGGCAAAGAAAGAGGAACCAAAATTCTTGAAGAGTACGAAGGCTATCATAGTTAAACAAAAAACCCCAACAGATCTCAAAAGCTTTAAGTGAGACAACCCAGATGCAAGTATCTGAGCTTAGATAACTTTTTAAAAAGAAATTTGTAAACTAGAATATATGTAGAATCAGGAGGAATCTACCTCTAATTCAGAATAATTGTATTTTCATCCCTTCAGCACAACTTCCTGAATTTGCAAACACATAAAAACAAGTTACAACTTGTTACATCTGTGCACCAAACATTATTTACTTCCATTAGATGTCCAACTACAAGGCTAGCCCAAACTTTATTTATTATAGTTTAGACATGTTAAGTTTACCTCACCACTAAACGTATGATGTATGCCACTTTTACTCCCAAATACAAAACTGGGGAAGTTGTAGCTATGAGCCATGCCTCCATGTCTGCCTGGAGCAAGTAGTTTCTCATACTAAGTGTGTATAGTAGGATCATTTAACTGCTGCACCATAGCGGTTAAGTGCTGCTGCCAACTCTGGGCCAAATAATTAAATTTTTTTGTTTGTTTATTTTTTCATTTTATCTATATGCTCAGCCAAGCTAGGATCTCAAGGGACATTTTAATAATTATTTAAGTTTTCTATAGACATTTTAACACATTATTCCCTCTCAGTTGAGCCAATGTGCTAGTCCAGTATTTGGTGAAGAGATTTTTCTGTGACATACCTGTAACAGTTAAGAAAATCAACCTAGCTTATACTCCTAGCACTGGATGGAATATTTTTGGAGATAAAAAAATACAATATATATCCTTCTTTGCATTAACTAAGAGGAAATAAAGATTTGATTGGGATCTTATGCAACAGATACATGCTCTGTTGCTTTACCAAGTACCAGTGGGAGGATGGAGGAGAAAGAATCAGCATGTCCCACAGTGTTATAGGACACCAGTTGAACAAAATTATAGTAACACTTCAACAGTCAACAGAATGAAACATTTGCCAGCTGAATATTCAGCACAGTCCTACACTCATCTTTTACAGACAAAAGCAACTTAAAAGCTGTACATTTACAAATTGTATATTGTAACTCCAAAGACATAACAATGCTTTCCTTATTTCTGGTGTGCAGGACAAAGCATGTCTTACCTTAAAAGCAGAGAGAAATTGTTACCTTTCCACTTAATTCACAAACAGACTAACAACTATAATTTTGAGATGTTACAATAGCCACATTTAGGTACCCACATAATATTGAATATAAATTATGAGTTTCATACAGCTGAGTAATACTCACTATATACGGACAAGTCATATTGCTATGAAAACCTTAATGTTAGAAAGGTAGTTGTTTAAGCCCAAATTTTGCCTTTTGACAGAAAGGCAATAGAACTAAAGATACTTTAGGGATTACAATACAAGGTTTCCGTCGAATCTTTTCCCCTTGAGACAAACCAGAGCATTTAATCCCAGAGGAAAGAACCCTACAGTTCTGTGCTCACTGAAGCTTTCCCACAGCAATACTTTTCTACCCATTCCCCAGCTCTCAAAGCGCCTGCTTTGTCCTTGACAGAGACAGTTCCTCCTTTCACCCCGTATTACAGCTCTGGGGGATTTGACAAAGGGAACATACTGCCATCTCTCTCATACCTAGAATCACAAATTACAGAGCTGCATAGGAATACTTAACATAAACGTGTTTTCTTTTTAAAAATTCTGAACATCATAACCAAAATAGGCAATTAACTTAAAATCTTGAAGTTTCAGATAAGCAAAAGACAAAAATAACTAACTGGTACCTTGCCCAGGTTGCAATTCAAGGCACAATCCTCAACTAGGCAGTAAGGATTAGATAAAGAATCAACTCTTCTCTTTAGTTATGTTTTAGTGCTAGCACCTCTTATTAAATACTAACTTAGTTAAACACTGCACACTCATCTGTTTATGGTAAAGTGAAGCACATAACTGGAGGAGGTTCATCACTCAGATTGAGATAGTTGTGTACTGCCTGAGTATGGCATGGAGACCTTTAGAAAGGAGTCTAAGTAGTTGACGCAGCCCAGGAGAACTGCCAGGCACTGCAGCATTGCATCTTCCATTGCCACTGACTGGAAGAAAGAAATGCTCAAATGTAAACAGGCATTCATATGCAAGACTTGTCCAGTGCACACTGACTAGACAGGGACTGACAACAACTGGAACACAACACAAAATGTAAAACATTTTTAAGAACTTGATTCTACTTGTTCATGGCTTTTTCCAAGCACTGAGAAGAGCTTCTCAGCAAGACTAATGTATTTTAGAAACACTAATTTAGTTGTCTTCTCCTGTGCAATAACAGAGACAAGCTCTAAATATTTGACTCTTCTATGCTATACAAAATGATTATTTGGTTTTTGGAGAGCAGAACCATATTAAGAATTATTTTAATTGCTTTATTTGACAGTGTATAATGACTGACCTTTGTAAAATTTAAATTAAATTCACACTGAACGTAGAAATAATCTGTAAAGGTAAATTATAGTAGGACTATACATACACAAACAGGAAATCTAATATAAAGCCTTCTGATCTACAGAATTATGTTATGAAGTAGAGAAAATAAACAAGTGCCTAGTTACATTTCACTAGTAACTGTATCAATTTTAATTATTACATTTCTAGGCTAAGATTTTTAAAGAGCAATGAAAGTTAAGACTCCTTCAACCATAATTCAGGACACAAAAGTGGCCCAACTTTCAACCTTGTTACAAACACAGTCACTTACTCTATAGCCAAATACAGCACAATCCACAAGACTATTATCTTCTCTGATAAAATGCCTCAAATCTGATTTAAAAGGATATCTGACCAGCTGCAGGCTAAAGTACCTATTTCTCCACCAAACAAGTACTAACAGTTTCTTGAAACCATGTGGTTCTACCGAAAGATATTCAATAACGATACTTGAAACTACCTGTTTTGAAATATTAATAACATTTTATACTCCACAAAGTTTTAGAAAAGGAATCAAATTCTGTGAACATTCCCAACTCTTGAGATGTTAACTTGAAACAAAAGTAACTGAAGTACTTGAGCTCCAAAACACTAATCAGAAGAAAGCTAAATCAGTTGTTTTGGAGAGATGACAAAAGATCCAGTGGAAAAAAAGTGTTTCATTTATCTCCCTATTCACTTACATATGCTATTAAGTCAAGAAGCAAAGATGAGGTAATTTAACACTTGTTTTAATTATTTACTTACTGCACAACATAAAATGTACAATATGGAGGCAGATGCAGTGCAACCCACTGTATACTACTACAGTGTTAACAAGTTGACCTGTAACCTAAAATATATTGCAACATTAGGTCTCCTCAATGAAAAGGCATGCTAGATACTAGTTAAATCGTTCCTTTTATCTTGTACTATCGCAGTATATTTCTGTATTCATTATTAGTAGATCAAGTGTAGCCTATTTCAAGAGAATGAATCAGAAATGGAGTTTTGCAAAATTTAAGGATATATTCACATAGGAGATAATGCAACCAATATTCATAGTCAATAAGGAATAAATCTCAACAGTGATGACAAAAGGCTATCATTTAATATTGCTGTCAACTTCACTGCATTTCATCAGAACTAGTTTGGCATGTACCTCAGACTCAGCAGTAGATTACGTATGTACAATTTTGGTTCTGCTTTCTATTAAATTAAGCATTTTGACTAAATAAAGACATGTATTACTCCCTCTCCCTGTAGGAAATAAGTGCAAAATGCTGTAAGATGATACACACCTAAAGACTATTTAGATATGCTTTTTTTTTTCTCTAGGAGTTTGCAAACAGTACCACATCATTCTGCTTCTTGTCCAGAAGCTAGTTGTATTATAGAAGACAAGGCAAGCATCAGTGCCACTCCATCACTTGTCAGAGAACAAAAGCTGCACATGACAGTGGGTCAAGTAGGGCGCTGCCGTCCTACCAGCCACTTCATCAAACCTGCATCTCTCAGTTAGTATACTGGAGCACAAAGTAAGAGCAGATCATCATAAAAGAAGTCTATCAGTTTGAAGCTACAAAATAATTTAGAAACAGCCTTGATTAAAAATGGAGTTTTAAATTTGCTTATTTATTTAATAAAAATATATTTTAAAAATAAACATTTCTGTATTTCCCATCCTTACATATTTCGCCTTAGTTTACAAGATAATAAGCCTTTGTCATATTTAGAGCTCAGATGTGGTAGAATTTTTGATACATTATTTGAAAAGGTTTTGCATTTAAATGTGAGCATTACACAGTTGACTGATAATTATATAAATTGCAAGGTATTGTAGCACCAAATGAGTCTGCTGTATTTATGCACCCAGTTACTAATAAGTAAACAAAATTTCTTCTGTTAATTGGGGAAGCTATTAATTTAGCAATTATTTATAAGCCATGTTCTACCTATTTCAAATGTAACAGTCATCTGTCCAGTGGCAGTTCCTAAAAGTTGTCACAGATTTTTGATTGTTTAGGTAAAAGTATCTGAGAATTATGCAAGTTCCTAGACTAATTTGTTTAGAGCTGTATTATTACCTAAGAGATAGGTGTGTTCTGCCTTGGTTTAAGAACAGAACTTCCACTTCACACAAACCCTAATAAAACTATGAGCCTCAGGAAAGCTTTCACTAGCTTTGTGCATAAAGTCTCATATGCAAGGCATTCTGAGAGCTCTCTCCACAAGAACAACAGCCATTAAATTACTGCTGCACACACACAGCGCCTTCTAAGAGGTTTCTCTGGCACTGGGAGTACTACAACCATGCTGAGTCCACAAAAAAGTATATATGCCTTTAGAGATATTTAGATTTAAGTAATAAAATCAACCAGGTCCCCCAAAATACATCTTGCACATCTAGCGAAACTACAAAAGGGAGAAGATTCAAACAACTGCCCCACTGTCTTGTTTTTGCCTCTTAAACCCATCTCTTCCAAGCAAGCAAAGAAAGCTGCAGCAAGGCAAAACCACCACCATACAGCATCAAAAAGTGGTCTTCCTATTAAGCACTACTACTACACATTATGAAATGAAGAATACGATATCCTCAAGCCAGAGGAAGCTTGCTGAAGTCTTCCCAAAGAACTGTCTACGTATCTACTTTTCAGCATTTAAAGTGATAACTCCAAATACTAAGATTTGAACACAGAAATTAATTTTCCCATTAAACTGCAAAATGGTTTACAATTAGTCAAGGCATTCTTGGATGTATGGCAGACATTCTGATTAATCAATGTCTTTGTTTAATGTGCATTTTCAATTTTTAATTATTATTATCTTATTATTTGTTAAGTCGAGCCCTCCAGTATTTAAAATATTGAAGTTTGTTTGTTTGCTTGCTTTGGGGTGGTTTGGGGTTTTTTTTGCTACTGTCACAGTACTAAGATTATTCATCCCCCTTTAAATTTATAGGTTGTTTAGGTAATTTATGATCTAACTGAATGCTGGCACTAATTTTAAAATTAATATCCTTTGGTCATATTTATCTGCAAAACACTTCAAAAGGACTCCATTTAAAAAGAAAAAAAATTATGATGTGTTAATATGCATCCAAAAAGCATATATTAAAAAAAGAAAAAGTGAGGTAAACCATTCTGTTTTCTTTTAAAATAAATTGTGAATATTTTTTTTGTGTCTTTTATGACTCTGCAGAGATTCTCCCCTTTCTACCTCACTGCCTAAGATCGTGAGAGTCATCTTTGAACTGGCATTGAAACAGGTAGTGGTATGATCCACAGCTTTTAATTTTTCCTATAATCATTAATAACTTTAATATTAAAACAAACAAGCTATTTGGTGCTTAACTTCAAACACGCTTTCCATTCTCAAACATATAATGTAATCATAGTTGATCTAATTTCAAAACAACTAGAGAAACATTAATGTACCTATCGTAGTGCTTTTCCTTCTAAATACTTGAAGCACAATTTATTATACCTTGCAGGAAACTGAGTATTTTTTTAGTCAGCTTTCAGGAGAAACCATCAGTTGAATTGGCAGATAAAGTACTTTAACATTTGAATATTTTATGACAAACTGAAAGCTATTAAAAGTTTGTAACTAAGGAGTGATATACAACCTCCCTCTGAAGAACACTTCCTCTAATGACTTTTGCAATTTCTGTAATTTTCTTGTGCAGAAATAAACAAAAAATCACACAAGTTTTAACAAAAGACTGATCAATAAAGCATGAAACCACAAACAACAAACAACTACATTCAGAAACAAGTATGAGCTTATGAACAGCAGATAGAAATTCTGCATGTCAGTAGAAAATCAAGTTTGTTTATTAAAGATTTCTATTTGAAGTACTGATTCCAGCAGATTTGCTGACTACAGTCTCACAGTTCTTTGATGCAAAAGGGCAGAAACTGGCAATTTCATTTTTGCAATCATGGATCTGGAATCAGAGCTCAAATTTATTCTTAAATAGATTTTGCAGATTAAGTTGATTCAAACACTGAGTTTGGATGCTAAGTAGTATTTTCTTTAAAAAAAAAAATAAAAAAAAAATTGAGAATGTTCCCAAAACTGACATTCTAAATCAATAATTCTAGTTCAATATTTTTTCCATCATCAAGTTAGAAAAAAAAATTAACTGACTATTTAAAAGAAAGGGTTAAAAAGTCTACGATTACCTTCAGTTGATTATTGAAAATATCAATTTCCTGAAGTTTAGATCTGGTTTCTTTTTCGACTTCATCTAGCTGGTCTCGAAGCTGTTGACGTGCTAGTTCCTTGGCTTCTAAGGCTCTTTTGATAGTGAGAAGAGAATCTCCTGTTTTTAAACATATTGTCAAATAAGTTTTTTCTTATATGGAGAATTTTAGGTCATAGACAGCAACATTTTTCAACATGCATCTTGCAACACAAAAAAAGAAACTACAGAAACACTGTGCAATGCAGCATCACGTCCTAGACAAACTTAGACATGTACAAAAATATACTTACTGTGCAAACTGTTCTGTTGAACTTGCTTTAGCTGGTCATTAAGCAATTGCTTTTCTGGAATCAACCTTCCAAGCATCTGCTGAGATTCCTGAATGGAGGACAATGAGGAGAGAGAAAACAAGAAGAGAAACAGACAAAAAGGTAATAGCCATAAGACCTCTCATGTTCATGTCTTCTGAAATGACTCTACTTTCTCTCTCACTAAATTATGTACTATTGTCATTATCCAAACACCATCTGTGTGGTATTACCACTCAGACATAGTTTTCTGCCGATACAAAAAAAGTGAGCATATCACATTTAAGCATATTACTTGAGAATTGACTCTCACTGAATACATAACTTGGCTTGGAATTACTTGAAATTCAGGGCAAAAAGACAAGGATAGATTTCAGGAAAAGTTAAAACAAGCACTTACTAACCATTTAATTCTCATTTTATTAACTTAACTTTGATCAGGAATAGAAAGACAAATGTGTAGTTTATTTAAAGAAGAGAAAATAAAGGCCTTCACTTTAAAGGAATATACTATGGCCGAAAACTACGCAACAGAAGCTCTGTTAGATGAGAATACTTGAGTCCTAGATCTCTCAATTTAGCACTTGAAAGAGGATTATGGTCTCTTTCAATTTCAACACACAGTCATATGGTTGTACACTGTTATATTACAGGAGATCTTGTAGATGAGAAATTCCTCCTTCAGTGGATCATATATATATATCTATCTATCTCATATATAATCCTTGCTCTTTCTGGAGGATGAAGTGCTGCTTCATACACCTTTCATAAGCCTTGACCTCTAACTTCAGGTTGTCAAAACATATTATAGAAGCATGATGTGAAACAGCTTATTTTATAAAAGCCGCCCGAGTGTCAACACCCCATCGTTCAGACAAACTAAGTAATTTATTTCAGCAGTTGTCTTGAATTGCAGGCTTCTGAGGAATCAGCCATCTGACAATTTCAATTTGTCATGAAGAATACAATCCTAAGAATAAATGTCACCTAATCGTTTAATACCAGAGTGAGTCCCATGAAAAGTTTTTAGTTTTTGTTACAAGAACACAAAGTTGACTGTACTGACACAAGTTCATAGTTGCCCCACTTTACTCGTGGCAGTCTTTGATTGGGCCTCTACAGTGTACAGCTCAGATCTTATAATTATGCAATGACTGCAGACTACTGTAATCTCTTTATGTTCCAAAAAACATACTTAGATAGTACAGCAGAGTCAAGCACTATATAAATTCACAAAGTATCAAAATTAAGATAAACTATGCCTTTGACTATTAGGAGTTACATGTGTCCCTCACTGTTCAGCTGCATTGCCTATAGCAATATATAGCAAAATATCCCTTCAGGGATATCATGAAAGCCAGATACTCCTATCAGGGGCTATTATTCCCTACCTAGAACCAAATGAGAAACAGCAATATATAATGCAGCATTTTCCAAATCATCTGCCTGAGGGGGACTGCCTCCTTCCCAACAACCACCACTACCATGCCCTTCAACTACATGCAAATCACTGTTTTTCCTGTTCACACTTTCCCTTCCACCACACCCTCCCACCCAAATACCTGCATGCCCCATGCCATAGTTTGGGATGAAAAATTTAAACAGTATTATTAAATTAGTATAGCACACAGGCATTGCAGAAATTAAGTTTTCGAGTAGTATAATCCAAGAAAGGTGGCATCAAGTAGACTAAATATATTGATGGATAAACCTCAAGAGAAAGAGGAAAAGAAATCATCTTTCAAGACACAGATAACAAACCTGTATCATTCCAATTCAAGAACCATTTAGATAAGCCAAACAGCATAATGGATGTCAAAACGAAACATGACTTATAGAAAATTTATCATTCTTCAAGCACAAAAAGTAACATAGGACAGTATTCCAGGGTGGAATGTAATCCTAACCTTAGTTGTTTATTTTTAAAGGTCAGAATACTTCTAAACTCCAGACTACTCAATCTTAATACACAGAATAGTTTGGAGAGCATTTAAGGACAGAGAATGCCAAGGGATCATGAAGGTCAAGTTCTGTTTCCTGAAATCACAGACAACTATGTAATAAGCATCTATTCCAAAAGCATCCACAACATGCTTTTCCACATCCTTTAGCTGTACTGAAGAAACAGATGAAAGAAATTAATGGCATCATTAAGACTGAAGTTTCACACCACGAGAAATTGCCAAGAATTGAATAATGTCCCATACAGCAGTAGAAGGCAAATAAAGTAATCAAAAGACAGTTCCTGTCAATCTGATGAGGGAAATTTCTCTTCTGATCCCATGCCCTGAGCAAGAGGACGTACAAGGGACTGAGATACCACTATACATCTTAAGTCTCTGTCACATATCCTGCTTTCAGTCCTTCAGAGGAAAGCCAAATTACTTGGGAGCCAGTGTGCTCATCAAAGGAAGCAAATAATCCCTGCAGATAACTAGCAGAAGCTCAGTAGACAATATAAACATGATTCAAACACAGACAGTTAAGGTGTTTGGCAGCCAGGATCCTTCTGAACATCCCTGGAAATACCATTCTATCAGATAGCTCAGATTCATGTAAGTAGCAGAAATTTTCATCGCCCAGGATTAATTGTTATACAATTTCTTCCACAAGTTTAATCAAACTCCATCTTGAAACTAATTAATAGGTTAAAGAATAATTACTCCTTTGAAGTAACTCATTTTTCCATAGCAAGTGTCAAATGTATTAAACTAAAATATTTCCAAGTGAAGATACATCATTCTACAAAGATAACTGACAATACTGACTTTTTAATCTATTGGAGAGTTTAGAGGATCAAAACCTCCTTTTAAAAAAGTCACTTACTGGTTCAGTCTTTCCTCTACTAATTAGATGGGAAAATTTACAGAACAGTTGAGAAACTAAGTTTTTTTTTTTTTCAGGAAAAAGCTATCCACCATTTTAGGCTCTCCCCAGATAAAATCTGGCCATTTCTACTAAGTAGTGACACTTCTTTCTGGAATCATAATTGTCATAAACCCCTCAAGCGACACTAACTGAAAAAATAATGGTTGAGATCAATGATCAGCTGAGAGAAGAGCAAAGCCACAGCTATCGCTGTCAACCTAAAAAAAAAAACCAAAAAACAAAAAAATAAACCCCACCTCAAACCCAAAAATCCAACAAAACAACTGCCAAGAAAGGCAAGTGTGATTTTCATTACAGAAGTGCTCATACAGTCATTGTGAACAAAGCAACTTACAAAGTGAATAGGCATTAACTAAGCTGCTGGATACATGCCATCTAGTACCAATTACAATGGCTAGAGATGGGTAAAAATCACTACAAATATAGCAGTGATTCCAAAAGAAGAGTAAAATGTAGACAACTGTGCAAAACTCATTGTACTTCGTCAAAAGTTTCAATAAAATTTCAGAGTGGTGTCAAAATGCTGAAGACACACACATACAAAAAAAGCAATCTCCTTTTTGGACAGTGTAATGAGGTAATAAGTAGCACAAACTAAATGTCAGAAAGGTGAAGAATCCCCCTGCCTTCCTTAACTTTTCATTTCATGGTGATGTAGTTGAAACCTAAGCATAAAACCTGCAGGTAAGTAAAAAGCAATCTATGATCAGCCAAGGATATGATTAAAAATTAAAAAAAAAAAAAGTTAAGGAGTCTACAGAGAACACTGCCCCTTGTTTATCTAGTACTTTTTAATAAGTACTACGTCTACTTGCAGATAGATTATCTTTCTCATTGCTTGTTTCCCAATAGTGTTGCTTTCACATTTTTTTCTTCCTTCTACACCTTTCATTTATTATACCCAGTGTGGAAGCTCATTCCAAGTTCTTGATAATAATATTTTCTCATGTTTTTTTACAATCTTTGTTATAAGGACCCTAACCCAACTGTAGCACATCGGTCTTTACTATAACATAAAGGACTTAAAGCTTTTTACTGTAACATAATTTTTTTCCTTCCTAATTTGTTGTATTATGACAAAAGCAAAGAGATGCTTTATCTTTTCTGACTACAGAGACTAACTGAATAAAAATTACCAAGTTCACAGAAAGGACATATGAAAGTAGGATATGAATTCCATTAGATTTCTTGAAATAGCCTTTATCTATCAATGGCTATGTAGCTGCTTAGCTTCTTCTGAAGCAAGTTATAGTACCTTAGACCACTTCTACGGAAAGTTTTTGGAACAGAAGAGTTAGAGGGAAATTCAGGTGGTTGTTGCTTTTACATGGAGATTGGCTGTGCACATGAGATCAAAAGTCTTTAACTTATTCAGGTAAATGAGGGCTTCTTCACACATTTTATCAAGCATAGTCAGTTTTTTGTCTCTTTGAGCTAGTACTGCTAAGTGTAACTTAATTTCCCACCTTGATTCAATGCTTTCTGACCATTTTCAGTTGCCAATACAGGAGCATTTCATTAAAGAGAGAAGTGTGGTTTCAAGCCTAACAATGGCAGTTGTTTATGTCACAAGCATCCCTTAGTAGCATTTCTTGTTTGCTGTTGTTTGCATCAAGTGGACACAAACACTGTGCAAGAACGATCCCTAAATTACACTCTTTATAACAAGCTACTGCCAAAAGTAAGATGTCTTGTGAAAGGTGTAATGCTGTACACAAAACTTCAATAGAAATGTAAGATGTTTTAAGAAAAAAGAAAACAAACAAAACCAAACCCCAAAACCCCCTCATACATAAAAGAAAAACCCTGAACTTGCAATTCCTGGTTTTGTTCACATGAAGGTACTGTATTAATGATGCTTAGAAAGTTGAAATAGGTTTTAGGTAGGTTTTACATCCAAGCCCTCATAACATGAGCGTGAGATTCTCTCTGAGTGGTGGAAATCACTGAGAGCCTCCATTACTGGCCAAGAACTAATTTCAAACAATACAAAATATTAAATAAGAGAAAAATCCCTAAATCAAATACTACAACTCATCTAGAACCCTTTACAAATTGCAAAGAATATTCTTTCACGAAAAGCAGATCAATTCCATCTTCAATTTGAAAGAGAATTTTAGATAGAGAAGTAGGAAAGACGAATGCCATGGTTAGACCAAGAACTAACTGGTTTAACTGGTAACTTCAATTTTGAAAGTTCATTATTTTATAATTTAAAAAAAAGGCATCATCAATAAGCCACTTCAATGAAGTCAATTCTTTCTTTCAGCACACAAACAGCAATCACTGCCAACAAAAATACATGTTGTAAAATTTCATTCTCCTCATCCCCCCAAACCCTTTAACATCTTCAGCCAATTTATTTACTGCTCCCCCACAGCAGGATTCCATGAGGATGAAGTGATAATCATAGACACACCTTCAAGTGTAGGAAGTCATTCCTAGACATGTCTGAAGAACATTCATTTAAAAGAATGACAAATTACCCACAACAATTCCTTCTGTACAAGGAAAAACACAACATCTATTGTGGCAAGTTTGCTTAGGGTATTGATGCAGCTGAAGAGGTCAAATGCAAAGCTAAGAACAAAACTAGAGAACATTTTCTCACCTGTAGCTGCTGTTGCAAATGGGTGATTTCTGCAATTCTCAGTTCTCTAGATTTATTTGTACTTTCAATTTCTTGTCTTTGGGTAGACAGCCGACATCTGATATCCTGAAGCTTTCCCTCCAACTGATTTTTTTTATCATTCTTTAGGAAAAAAAGAAAAATATCTTTCTTTTTTACCAGATTGGTTTGTCATGCAAGTCAGGATCTCAAAAGTACTTTTATTCCATATTTAAAAGTTGAAATCACAGAAAATAAACATGGCCATATCACAGTCACTACAGTGCTCGCGTGTCTTATCTGCAACATGATCACTTACTAGAGCTTCCAGCTCAAATTCTAAGGTCTTCTTCTTGGCCTTCAGAACAACTATGTCCTCTTGTTCTTTGTTTCTTTGATTTAGTAGTTCTTGCCGACGATTACGCTCCCACTCAAGTTGCCGTTGCCTCTCAAGTTCCCGTTTTGCAGCCTGTAGCATTTTAATAAATACAAAAAAAATATGAAATATCTATTCTGAGAAACTATTCTAATCACTGATATTTATATTCTAATGTGCAATTAAAACATTAATATAAACACACTGCTAAACTTCGGACTAAACATGTGCCACTACTCAAGCACATGAATCGCTCAGTTGTTTAAATGCTCACTTGAAAACACTGGTGAAATGGGGCTTCATTGTATTAGCAGATAGGTGACTAAACAGAACATCACTCCTTTTTAATCAGCTTCCCACGATCCAATTTTCTGATTTAACAAGTTGTTTCATATTAAGACTTCAAGAACCCTCCAAGATAGCATCAAATCTCTTTCTGACCTCCAACATTAGACATTCTGCAGCTTTGCAAAGAATAAAATGCTACTTCACTGAATGCATCGTTATTTAGCAAAGTGAGAAAATAATAGCTTTTCAAGTTAATCAGTAGTGCTGGTTTTGGCTGGGGTAGAGCTAATGTTCTTCATAGCAGCTGGTATGGGGCTGTGTTTTGGACTGGTGCTGGAAACAGTGTTGATAACACAGGGAGGTCTTTGTTGCTGCTGAGCAGTGCTTACACAGAGCCAAGGCCTTTGCTGCTCCTCACGCCACCCCACCAGCAAGTAGGCTGGGGGTGCACAAGGAGTTGGGAGGGGACACAGCCGGGACAGCTGACCCCAACTGACCAAAGAGATATTCCCTACCATATGACATCAGCATATAAAGCTTGGGGAATAAGGAAGAAGGAGGGGACATTTGGAGCAATGGTGTTTGTCCTCCCAAGTAACCATTACGTGTGATAGCGCCCTGCTTTCCTGGGGATGGCCAAACACCTGCCTGCCCATGGGCAGTGGTGAATGAATTCCTGGTTTTGCTTTGCTTGTTTGTGCAGCTTTTGCTTTACTTATTAAACTGTCTGTATCTCAACCCATGAGTTTTTTTTTCTCACTTTTCCTCTCCCGATTCTCTCCCCCACACCACTATGGGGGAATGAGCGAGTGGCTGTGTGGTGCTTAGCTGCCAGCTGCAGCTAAACCACGACACCAGTACGTGTTTTCTTTAACAAATTAACTCATCACAGAAAGTCACGAATGCCACCAATGCCCGTAAGTTTTTCTTTGATTTTCTAGCATCTCTTTATATCAAAGAAAAATAGTAATAATAATAATAAAGAAGTAAAAGGTTAGGAGTACATTGTCCTAGTTCTAAACGTCTCATCCATTCATTTCACATGAAAAATAAAGAGATAGTCAACTCTTTTCCTTACTTTCAAAAACCCAGAAATTTAAGTTCATTCTTTAAATGTTTGCTTACTAAAAATGACAGCAAAATATTTAGTGTAAATACTACATTTTGTTCTAATCAAACACAGCTGCCAGTGACATAACCACCTTTCTTTAATCCAGTTGGTTACCTCTCTTCTCTCTATTTCTTTCCTCCTTTCCTCTTCTCTCTGCCGTTCCAATTCCCGTTGTTTTTCCAACTGTTTCTCTAGCTCCAGTTGTCTTTTACGTTCTTGCTCCTGCCGCTCACGTTCTTTCCTTTCCTGTTCTGCCCGTTCCAGCTGTGCTAGACGCTCTTGTTCTTTGCGTTGCTGTTCCAGGAGAGCCTGCCTCCGTTTTTCGAGTTCTAGATTGCCACGTTCAAAGTTCTCCCGTTTTTTATCTTCAAATGTAACTTGAATGTGTGGAAACAGGGGGCAAAGGAGAATTAAACTCTGCTACTGAGTTAAAAAAAATAAATCTATATACGCTGAATCAAAGTGAAACAACCTTCCAACTGTACTAGATGCAGCTCTCAACTAGCTGTACAGCTAATTCTAGGTTATATCATTAGCATTTGTATTGTAGATCCCCTTAAACCCACATCCTTAGGAAATCAAGGTGTGAATTTTGGTTCCCATTCCTCAGGCTTCTAGGTTTTTCCACAAAGCCCAAACAAGTGGGTATAGTTTAGACAAACCATTCACCTACTAATCTTCTATGAGGACACAGGATTTGGAGTTCCTCTATACATTTGACCATAGTAGAGGTAGAAGAATCAACACTTCAGTTACTACAAGGCAAAGAATTCAGCTGATGATGTTATCAAAAAGCCATTATGCAAATGACTAGAATGTATTTAAACTTTATATTCTCATAGGATTACTCATTACTGTCAGGAAAAGAAATGGTTTGCTTAAGTACTTGAGCAGCTGAAGTCACAAAGACTGGATTCCTGCAGATTCCCATCCTCATCACTGTCCTAAAAAAAATGACCTCAGTTCCAGCACAGGTTCCCTGACATTCTTCTGCACTATCAGGGATTGTCCATCCCCTGTTCCACATTCCACAGCCCCTCCCTCACAGTTCCTCCAAATTATTCTTTCCACTTCACCTTCTGCTTCTTTGCATACCCTGTATGCCCCATTCCCATACCCCATTATTCTACATTTCTCTCCCTGAATGCCCAGCACATACATTTTTGGCATGCAAGTCAAGAGATAGCACATATTTACTTCAAAGTGTGCACGCACTAATTATTTGACACGTTGGCCCGACATCTGCTGACCCAGTTGAATTCTTGTCTTTTTCTAAGTTTGGGCCCCTTTCTTATTGCCAATCACCAATTTTCATAAAACTTGAAAAAAATTAACCACTTTGACATCTGTCCAATTTATGTAAAATTAGCCACCGGGTTCAAAGAATATTAAGATACAGACTGATAGACAGAGAATGTGATTATAACCCCCACTGATTTAGGAAACCAAGCAAAAAGGTGGCGGAAGGGGGAAGAGAGAGAAAAAAACCCCAAACACATTTATGTCAAGGAAGTCAGTTAAAAGGAATAGGTAGACGGGCAAAACATTTGCCAGTAGCATGGACATTAAGATACCATGTTCAAGGCTCAGAAAACACATACCACTAAGAAGAGACACCAGGTTCTAAGATGGCTGCCCAACAAGCTAGTATGGTTACTCTGCATAATCAAGGTAGCTACCAGAGATAACAAAACAAAGTATAGCCAAAGTATGAAAACAGAAGAGAACAACTTCTAGCAAATTAAATACGTAGCTATTGGCTTGTGTTACTATGCTTAAGGGAAAGCTTCTAAGAGGTTATAAAAACCAACAACAAAAACTCTTTCAAGTGTCTCAAAAGAAAAAAACCAACACACCTAGCCAGATTTAGCAAAGCCAATAAAGAAGCAAGACAACATTCACTATTATAAGTGATCTTTAAAATGGACAATCTATACATCAAATACAGTAAAAGGCTTATACACTCTAGTCCCTCTTCAACTGAAAACAGAAACGGCTTTAAAACAAAAATAAAACAAAAAAATTAAAAGTAACAGGTTGCCAAACCCAGACAATGCTAATCCATAGTTCAAATACAAAATTAATGAATTACTAGCTGCGCTGTGCAATCCATCCTTTAATCAACATCAGTCCTGTAAGACTAGAAGATGACAAGTGCAACACCAGCCTTTAAGAAAAGACGGTATAATGATCCTGAAAGCTACAGACAAATCACCCTGCTCCCACACTGGGCAAAGTAGCAGAGGCTACAACAGACAGTTAGTATACATGACTAAACATGGCACCATGGAAGAATCAATGCAGGAAAGAGCTACCTCTCAAGTCTAGTAGACCCAATTGTATCAATAACCAAGTTGAAATAGAAGATCAGGTCAACAGAAGAATACTTGCATGATTTCGAAGTCTAATAAAGAAACTAAGCCAAGTTTCTGACCTTCCTGACACTACAAACTGCATACCAAAATCCTCTGATTCCAGAGACACAAGACTTAGGCCTGAAAGAGCCAATATAAGAGAGTCAAATCTCACCTGTGACCAAATGTTTTGTTGTGAAACCTCAGTGAGGTCTGCTTCAGTAGCCCCTGCTATCTCCCTCCATCCTCCTACAGCCATAATTACCCAGCAGACTGCCAGCAGCTGTTAGTTATAAAATACAAACCAAAGACAACAGTTATATCTGAATTGCAGATCCCCTGAACTAATCTGGTATGGAAAGAGACAGGAGGTTCTTGGGAACTAACAAACAATTAAAAGATTAAGGGCTGAAACAAATTACCAACTTTCACAATGACAGAAAGATTCTCAGTAGCCTCCTTCAAAGAACTGTACTAGCAATTGTGCTGTTCAGTGTGCAACAATGATCTGGAACTGACTGAAAAGTAACAAGACAGCTTCTGGAGATGATGCCAGATAGTCACGGGATTAAAATAAAAACCTGACTGTGCAGAATCTGACAAAACTGAGTGATCTGGAAATAAAGAAGCAGAGGAAATTCAAATGTTAATGAACAGAGAGTAGTGTACATGGGGAATAAAAATAATCCTAACTAAAACCACACACAGTTATGAGTTCTAAAATGGTTGATAGATTTGTGGAAGGATGTTGGCATTACTGTGGAAAGTCTTCTAAAACATCAACTCAGATCTAAGCTGTGATCAAAGAGGCAATGAATGCAGTGTTAGGAATCAATTAAAAAACTGAAAACTAATTTAGAACAAAAGAGAAAAGCATTATTATGGCACTGTATAAATCTGTCACGTTGCTACATCTTCAACTGTGTGACATTCTGGTCATCTTAAAATGAAATAGAGCACAAGTAGATAAAGCACAAAGAAGAGTGAGGGGATGATCAGAAGTTTCCTAACATTTAGCATCTAGGAGGCTTTCTACCCTTTCCCCTCCCCTTTCTTTTTTTTTTTTTAATTTTATTTTCCCCAAAGCAGAGCTGCTAAAGCTTGTATAAAAAACCATATTGTTACACAGACTGCAATGAAACGGGCCTACAGGCCTCCCTATGTACATTGTCATCTTTTAAAGAGTACAAGTCAAAATTACACTCCACCTACGTCAGAAGATGGAGGTAGTAAAAAGTTTTCTTTGCAGAGGCTGCAAAGTGTTGCCTCTGTTGAAAGTGCATAAGCAGCCTGAATGTTGTTCATAACTTCATTGTCACTAACACAAAGGATGATGCAAGAGTCAGGAATTAGCTGGACCAAGCAATGCTTTGGTTATGTCTCTGACATGTCAGAAACTGATCTGGTAAGAAAACATTTCTTCATAAGCTTTTGTAACTCCACAGCATATAATCTGACACCTGTCTGATAACAGCATACAATACATCTCTATTTTTGCTTGCTCACCTGGTAATTTCTTTTCCACTTGCTGCTGTTCTTCTTCTAATGCTGGTTCTTCTGGTAACCTTTGGTCTACAGATACTGAACTTACAGCAGATATGCCACTACCAGAGCGTACTCTTCTGTCAATAAAATGATAATTCCAAGTTGCTTAAAAGCACCTATGTCTGCCAAATTTATTTACGTTTTAATGATGAAATAATAAATTAAATGCAATGATGTAATGTTTAATGATATTTAATGTTCCCTCAGTGTTGCCCCGATGATTTTAGCCAGCCATTGCCATTAATGTAACAGTATCCTCCAGGGTCCCAACAATACACACTGGTGACCTGAGAAACCTAGTTCAAAGTTCACAGCACCATGCAACTTATAGATCTGTTCAACCCTGTCCCCAAGATCTCTTACTTGTGATGAGTCTGAAGCTGGGGAAACACTGAATTAAACTACAGCAAAAGTTGCAAAGGCAGAGGAAGAGCTCACTATCGTCAAGCTAAAAAGAAGACCCCCACATGGAATAAACAAAAAAATTGTAATCAGGAGGGTACTTAAAGAACATGAAGTTATGGTTGTATGCAAACACTCCACTCCATTGCTGTTACTGTCTTTCCACCCATTTCTCCACAAAAAAGGTGAAATAGAGAAATAGAAATAATGACTCACCACTATTTACAGACACAACTGTATCAAAAGATGTCTGAATTTGCTACAGTGTAAATTCATAGCATGTTTTGAATTCCAATACATCCCATTTGGTCTACAGAAGTATAAGCTTGAACTTTAAATTTATATGGCCAGACTAAGTTTTAGAAGGTATGCTAGCATAAGACATTTGACCAAAACTGTATTCTTACAAGGAATTCTTGTTACTTCCAGCATCCAGTACTTGTAATAAAACCAAAAAGCTAGACAAGCATTTCCCAATGAGAAGGCACTCTGTGCCATAGATGCAGTACAAAAAGGAAAGGGGTCACATTTCAATCTCTTGTACTTTACACTCAGAGGACAGCTTTCCCAAATGAAACAAAAATTTAAGAGCGAGATTTCAGAATTATAATCAGTTACCTAAATGAAGGTGGAATATACTCTGGAGGCAGTACTGGTGGCAGTGGCTGACCAGACATAGCTACATCGATTAAGTGCATAGCCAGAATAAACTCTTCGGCTGTAAGTTTTCCATCTTGATCGATATCGGAAAGATTCCTTTTTAAAGGAAAGGTATAAAGTAAGTAAATTCTGAAATATTAAAAATCACTGTCAAAAAGCATAGTTTTAACATATTCAGTTCCAAATGAATTCAATTTTTCACTATTTTTTTCACACTACTTTGTTTCTTCCAAACAAATAAAAAGCAAAAACCAGATGCTTCACTATTTCTCAAGTTTCTCACGCATGTCTTCCTTGAAACTATCCTTGTAGCCATGGCTTCTACTTCACTCACTCTTTGAATGCTGCCTGTACCACATGCTATGTAAGTAATGTTAATCAGTGGAGTTTTCTTGAACACCTTGTGAACATCCATTACACAGTATCGTTTAGAGAAGAATCAGCTGTGTGGCAGAACTTTTTGGTTGGGTCTCCTTCTTCCCTGGAGGCTCCTATCTCATATTCCAGAGCACGCATTTGCATTAAAATCAAAGGCATTTGATTTTTTTCTTGATAAGCAAAAACATTTTACCATTACGCGCATATTAAAAAGTATGGAGTAACGTCTCTGGATGGCCTAAAATCAGTGCTCCAACAGATGCACAAAATGTTTTTACTTACATTAAGGTGGCATTAGACAAAATTTAACAGCCTAAACATCAGCTTTGTTTCTCTAGCATGTTGCACTCTAATCATGCAGTAAAGTCTCCCATGAAAAATTTGTGAAAATCAAAGGTAAGCAATTGATACATTCTTTTGATGTCTCAAGGTACAGGACTTTGTTTATGGGATTTAAATTTGGAAGACAATTATAGCCCCATTTGATCCACGCTTGTATTCTTGAACTCCTCAGCTGGAGCACAAGAACAAGCCAGTATAATGTAAATCTAGCACAGAAGGATATAACTGATCAGCTATCCTAACAGTCTGGGTCCACTTCTTTGTTACGGAAATACCAAAACAGCTGCTACAGAATAGCTGACACCCTGCACATCAGTACTTCACTTCGTGTGTCCATGAGTCAGTGAATCCACCCCCAATACAGACTGAAAAATCTTGCCTCAGAGAACAGCAACAGTGGTTCCACTGCCTGTCAGTCAGGATCAGGAAAGGGACCAACGTTTAGGACAACAAAAGCTGTAAAATCTGTTCCTTATCTCAATAGACTTGGCAGTTCTGAATGTCAAAAATTAAAAGAGTTTAGAACTCCTGGAGTATGCTGACGTCGTTCCCCTGCCCACACAACCTACTTAAGTGCTGGCAACAAGCAGAGTATTTTTTTGGCTAATCATTTGCTTGATAACTGGGTTGATTTTTTTTTTCCTTATAGTAGCTTTGTTACAAAACAGAGGAAGAGAGAGTGCTTTTTAAGATATAACAAAAACATTACTACTTAGCAAAGAAAGCAAATGCCATTGAACTGTCATGTTAGAGTGACAACACAGCTGACACCCTCATGCAGAAGTCAGATGGGTTAGTGAGTTGACAATGGTATTCAAGCAGAGACTTATAAAGTATAGAGGTTAATTAAAAATAAGTTGTAGAGGAAATTAAAAATATATAGAAGCAGCATGAGGGCCGTTTAAGTCACCAAAGATAACCATAAATCAACAATAACCAAGTACTACACAAGTAACAAAGTAGAAACTTTACACAGTACGTAGGAAAGCATGACCTTCCAAAGTATGAGGGAGGAGGGAGGCTAATCCATGTGACAATAAGAACACAAACTTCAGCAAACAAGAAGTTGAAAGGAGAAAGAGAAGCCAAGACAAATCCTTTTAAAATCCATTCTTTTAAACATATGTAACTTCAGCCCCTTGGAAATAAGCCCTTAGAAACTCGCATAAAAAGCAGACAAGCCCCGAAGAAAGTATGGTTCTGGATTAAGCTTTGTTTTGTACTACCTGTGCAAATGTGTAAGTTTCACTGGTGCTGTATCACATCTGGCCAGCAACGTGGAAGACGAAGGAGGCTGAACATTTGATCTGCCTTAAGCCCCCATAACTGAAACCCAACTTATGAGACGTCTAAGTGCAGAGTTTAAAAGATGCTCTTTTTCACTTTCGTGAAGTAATATTAATATAAGCATAGAAATGTAGGGGGGTTTTTATAAAGTTATACATTAAAAAGAGCAACATATAGTGATTTATCAGTAGAGGGAGATTGAAAAGAGAGAAAAACCCCACAGTATAGAGGTTTAAATACAGTTTCCGGTTTGGTAGAAATTGATAGATTTACTTTTACCATATTGTAGCCAGCTGAGCCTGGGGTAAACTTGACTGCATAAGAATAGTTCTTGCTTGTGGACCTAGCGAAGTGAAACAAGGATTAACAAACGAATAAGCAACCTTCCCTTTTTCTTGCATTACCAAGTAGCTACTGCTCAAGCAGAGCTTACCTCTGAATAGGTAACACTGAAGAGATGTTATTAGCATGAACAGTCTATACATACTGCTATCCCTAGGCCCCCTCCCTCTGGCCTCAAAAGGAAAATATTTTAAAAAAAATAAATACATAACCCTTCCCTTCTCCACAACAATCACACAGATTTTTAAGAAGAAAAAAAAAAAAAAAAAAAAAAAAAGAAGTACAACCAAGCCAGTGTACCATTCTAGTTTCTTTCTGAAACTGAATAGGTACCCTCATTGGTGGATGAACTGAAGGCTGTAAATGGCCGCACAAGTTTTCACATAGCCCACTGTATGCTTTCTAGGAATCATTTCCCAGTATCAATGTACTTTGCAGAAAATAAAGAAAAGAAGGTGATAAAATGATCCCAGCAACAATAAATATTTGCTCCTAAACAAGATCATTAAGCAGCTGGGAGATTGGAACAGAAAAAATTGATGGTGACAACAGAGAGAGATGACAGTCTCTTACTATCTGAATAGCATTCTAAATACTATTACAATTGGCCTTCTACAGTTTGAAAAAAGGAGACAACAAAAATTGTTTTGATACCTGTTAAGTGTCCACTCATTGTTTTATCATGGCTATTGAACAGCTGTCGGTACTTCAGTCTTGATGACTGAGGTACAGCCCACTCTGCCACAGGAGGCACACTAGAATTAGAAAAAGGAAAAGGCCAGGGGGGGATATAATTTTAAATTTAATCACATGAAGCTGGCAGGTACAACAGGATGAAATGCTGCACAGAGATCAAGTTTTATGCCTGAAATGGTTCTTTTCACAAAGATTCCCTTCTATTCCTAAAACCACAACAGCTTTGACTTCTTGTTTGAAAACATTTATCATAATTCAGTGTCTTAGAAGATGTTTTTTGGCACAGGTGAACAACAGGCCTAAGAGTTTTGTATTCTTCTTTACTAGCAGGGAATTAAGTAACTTAAACACTTTAAAGGAGCTAAAAGCTTTTACCTAAACATATAAAAAGAAATGCTTTACCACTGTCAACAGAAGTAATATCTCATTTTACCCTATCTTTAACTGGTTGTCTTAGCCAAACAATGCATAAGCTGATTAAGGAAAACAAATGTAAAATATGCTGAAAACATGCGAAAAAAGTGTGGAAAAGCTACACTCAAAAGCAATCAAAGTTTCTTGCAATGGAATAAAACTGACAAAATGTAATATTCCCAGTTCTAATTCATCCACATAGTCGGTTGAGTGCTGTTATTTGTAGCTATAATTTTTCCCATACCTGAAGGGAAATTTCAGTCTTCATACTGAAAAACAATAAGCACAGTTTTTCTGGTTTTAGGCATATTCAAACTTTGTCCTTTTTTGTTAAGGTTAAAAAAAAAAAAAGCCAGATTAAATAAGCATTTGTAAGAGCATACCAAATTACAGTAAAAAAAAAACCAACCCAAACAACCAAAACCACCAAATCCCTTTTCCCTGGTTCACTAAGGAGACAGCATGGTAAGATGTTTCAAAGTTGATCTGAGAAGGATTATATGAATAATCTACTAATTGACCTCATATCCTATTCTCACATGACAAGATCCAAAACAGCTAATACCTCTATTTCTATTTTCTATTTCCAAACTATTGTGCTTTAATAATACTCTCTCATGGGAGCAAAGCAAAATCAAGCCACAATAATGAGAATAAGACTGAAACTTAAAAAAAAAAAGTTGATTATTTTAAGTTTTATCCATACGAATTCCTCCCTCACCAGTTTTGCTAGATTGGGACTTTCCACACACTAAGTCTACTTTTGTCTTACATATGTATGTACCTTGATCTGTGAAGGAGGTTACTGCGCATTAAGTAATGAAACTCTCCTTCATGGATACTTAAGTGGTAGTTTGGGAAAAAAAAAAAATGCTGGAGGACAAAACAGTTGACTCATGTATACCAAATACCATGAATGGCAAAAGTTCACTAGCGGTGACTCAGTAGAGTGATAAAAGCACTGCAAGTGGAATTCTGAATTTCACCCTTCTCAAAATTCAAACGAATTCTCAGCTAGGAAGAAAAAAAAAGCCAAACCAAAACAAAAAACCCCCAAACAACAAACTTCAACTTTACATTTCAATTTAATGGACTTAGCTCTTCTTCCTCCCTTTCCATAAACTCCGCAAATCAATTACCTTGCTATCTGTTTTCTCCAATATAAAACTGGAAGACACATGCCAGTTCATCACTCAGCATTAGCAGCAGTTGTGAAGGAATATCCCTTTCAGCGCTGGCAGATGTTTCAGAAGTTACTGAAGTAACTGCGATTGAGCTAAGGAAGCTCCAACCCCAGCCCAAGCAGATTCAGAGAACCATGCAATTTCACCTCAGAAAATAAGTCATCTCATCTGAGGTTCAGGCCTCTGTTGGCAATAAAAGTGACCAGCAAGATTCAGATATAGTTAACCCCCAAACCATGCTAGCACTCATATGTAATATCTAGAAACCATTTCAGCTGACGTTCCCTGAACTTCATTCATTGTAAATACTAAAAATTTTGTTACAGACAAAGTTGATAACTTCTTGTACCTCTGTATCAGAGCATCACTACTATGTTCCTGACAGTACTGGATTTCAAAGAGAGAGTTGTTTGTTTTGAAAGATTTTTAATCCTATTTGCCAATAATCAGTACTGTCACTTATCTAATAGCAGGGCACAAGAAAAACCCGCAGAAGAAAAATGAAAATAAAAAGATATAATTAAATAATGTCCCAACCCTTTTGCTTCTCGCAAAAAAATCTGTAGTATAGACCTGTGAGAAAGTTTTGATTTACAAACACTTCGGGAAATTACTATCTTAACTCTTCTAATGAAGTTTTATTTTGTTAGATACATTTCTTCAGACTATAGTAAAATACATTTTGCCTGAGCATACATCTTCCTAGGCCTTGAACTAATCTAAAAGCCCTTCAGGTGATTTTTCATGCAAACTTGAAGAATATATAAGAAGCAGTTATGTGAAGTGCATTTAAATATTAAATATTTTGCTTTTAAAAATAATCCTAGAGTTGCTAATTTTAAAGAACATTACTTTCTATGTTTTCACACTAGCAGGAGTGCCTGTGCATTATTACACAATGCAGATTATGTTTACAGCAGCAAATGCTTTTCTAAAAAATAAGTTTTCAAGAGTCTGAAAATGGTGTCAACACATACTGTAATAGTTAATTATTCTATTTCAATGATTCACTACTCATGGAGCATTCCTTGTAAAACCACAGCATTCTATGAAAT